GCTGAGCAGGGAGCCCGATGCAGGACTCGATCCCAGGACACTGGGATCATGACCTGAGCCAAAGGCAGACGCTTAACCATCTGAGCTACCCAGGCGCCCTTGAAATAAACTATATTTAAAGTATACAATTTATACTGTGAATTTATATGATTTAAACCTATGCAACCATCACCATAATCAAAGAAATGCACATATTAGATTTAGTTTCAAGTGACCATTATAGAATAATTCGTGGGCTTACAGATCACCTAAGTATCTACGCGTGTATGCATCTGTACTCTTGAATATTCAATCGATTTATTTTACAGAGCCAGTTATGAAAACACCAGTTAATTAGAAAACCTAGGGAGGGAAAAAAAACCCTCAAAACTTCTGACCACTAAAAAATGGTGTTGTATGCTAAAGCAGTCAAGCCAATTCCCAAAGAGGTCTCGCTTATTTTTCTAACCTCATACACTTGTGCCTTAATGAATGTACTGGGAATTTGTCCTAATCCAATGATGAAGCACAGTAAAAGTCTGCAGAGAAACCCCGAATTTAATTTGCAATGGGCCTGGCCTCTCCTTTAACTCCTTCTTGCCTATATTTTCCGCCCTTAATTATATCTGTGGTTTCACCTTGGGAGGCAGACTTGAACCACCAAAGGGAAAATAAAATTCTATGATGTCATTCATAATGTGTTATATTAAAGTTGCAAAGCAAAAATGCACATGCCCACCATAAAATGTTAACTATTCAATTAAATTCATCCAATGAAAGAAATAAATGTTGCCTAAAGGTTTCACACTATCAAAAAAGCTCTTTCGTTCCACCTACCAGAATGCCTGGCATTGACCTGCCATTCATCCGTTCCCTAGTTCAGACACTGCCTACCTTGGCATTTTTTTTAAAGGCTTTAACACCTTTGTTAATTGAGAGTCCATTTGAAAGAGGCAAGCTAGCCATTTCACATGTACCACCTAAAAGGAGAAGATCCCACATTTTCATCAACCAGAAAACAAAAGCAGAAAGGCATGGACCTCCACTTTACTTAAAAATTTATTAGGAATAAGAAAACAATACTTAAAACTGCAATGAAAGGCTTTAAAAACATCAGGTGTGCATGTTTATGCGTATGTGTCTGTATGTCTGGGTTTTTAGGAACAAATTTAGACAGGTACAATGGGGGGGCCAAAAAGTCAAATGCAATACTATACACTCTCACTTGCTATGAAGATGATAGAACTATTAGAACTATAAAACTTGAATTTAAAAAAAGTTTTCACAGATTTAGATAGATAATCTGCCATGATTCTGATGACAGTTATTCAAAGTACATTAAAAAAAGAAAAAAGTAAGGTACATGTTTTGCTAAATGGGAGAGAAGTGAGGCTATAGTTAAGTACAAGGCAGTGAGTAAACAGACTTTGTGGATCAAGGTCAGTAAAGGAATTGTATTTGCTAGTATATTTTTAAAAACATTCATTCATTCACTCATTCATTCATTCAAGAAGGCTGGGAGGGACAGAGAGAGAATCTTAAGCAGGAGCAGGCTTCATGCTCAGTGGATGTGGGGCTGGATCTCAACCCTGAGATCATGACCTGAGCCAAAATCAAGAGTCGGACACTTAACCGACTGAGCCACCCAGGTGCCCCTGTGTTTGTTAGTATTAATAAAATTCATAGTCCTATACCTCTAATATCTGGTCACCAGCCCAAAGTCTTCCATCTCTGGCTGCTGCTCCTTCTTCGTAGACTTCGTGTATAACTATAGCATCCTATAAAAAACAAATTCTTATTAATTTCCAACAACCATAAATGCTTCCTTACAAAAACAACCAAACCATAGGCAGCAACCAATAATTTGCTCTTTGCTAATAATGTCCTATTTTATTTGACCTAAAAGTAAACACAAAACACGGGGTTATGATATATTCAGAGGTATAATTAATTTTTCCTAGGTTTATTATTTCATTCGACTGGCTTTGCCTAATATTTCAAGTTAAACTTCCCCCATGTGTTTTACTGTTAACCTGTACATTGCTGCTGTGTATGAACTTGAGGTGAACTATGCGTCATTCTTACTTACATTTTATGGTATATTTTGAAACATGGTTGCAGGTATTTATTAGTATTCAAGGATTTGGCATAGATGTGTGGCCTGATGCAGGGGGTCTGTCAGGCCTCATTACTTGGGCAATGAAAGAAAGAACTGAAGTGGAATGAAATGACCCTGGAAGATGAAGCATGGAGGAGGGGAAAGGCTGTTCATGAACCTAAGTGTAAGACAGTTGCGGGTTCAAATTCTGACCTGCCTTCGGGTAACCCTGGGCAAATTAACCCCTGAACCGAGCCTTCTGAGCCATAAAAGCAGGACAATACCTAAGGTAGGTAAGCGTAAGCTGAAGAAAGCATATCATGGTTAGTGAATTTAAAAGATTCCTATCTTTTCAAATTAATAACCTTACATTTTTTATTATCATAAAAATAACCTATGTAAAGGACTCAAGCAAAACCACAGGGTGTATGTAGTGAACCACAGAAGAGACCGCCTCCTTTGCTGGCCCCTCAGTCCCATTCCCCAGAGACAATCACCATCAACAGTTTCCTAGGGATCCCTGCAGACAGTTTAGACCTATACACCCAAATACTGATATTATATGTATATGGGTTTTGGTGAGACTGTTTTGAAAAATATTCAATTGAATATGTTCACACGACTTTTTACCCTCATGTTGAGCAAACAGGGGATTTTTTAAAAGATTTATTTATTTATTTGGGAGAGAGCACGCACGAGCATGAGTGGCACGAGCAGAGGGAGTGGGAGAGGGAATCTGAAGCAGACTCTGTGCTGAGCACAGAGCCCTACACAGGGCTTGATCTGACAACACTGACGGGGTCAAGACCTGAGCCGACATCAAGAACTGGATGCTAAACCAGCTGCGCCACGCAGACACCCCACAAGCAGGGGATTTTTATGGAGCTGGAAACTGAGCCAGATGTCACTGGTTCTTTCTGGTGTTTATCAAACTGAGGGGCATTGAAAAAACAATGCTGGAAGGATCATGCCAGGTGTCTTATTAGAGGGCTGCTGGGAGAGGAAAAGAGCTGCTTTTTTTTTTTTTTTTAAAGATTTTATTTATTTATTTGAAAGAGAGAAAGCACACACAGGAGGAGCAGCCGGTAGAGGGGAGAAGGAGAAGCAGGCTTCCCGCTGAGCAGGGAGCCAGATGCGGGGCTCGATCCCAGCACCCTGGGATCATGACCTGAGCCAAAGGCAGACACTTAATGACTGAGCCACCCAGGCACCTCAGAAAAGAGTTTCTGATGGAGATTAGAAAGAGAACTGTGGGTCTTATGGGAAGTGAGGATTTGAGCCCTGCACTGCCCAGTGTCACCCCATTCCCCACCACCCCCCAGCACACACGCTGGTTGTAAGACCCTGCAAGCAGAGTCTAGGCATAATGGATTCCACCTTGAAAGAAGTCCTGTGTCCTAAGCATTGGGGTTTGGAAGCCAGCAGGATTTCTTGACTTGTGATCATAAAGATCTGGGTAAGAAAGGGCTTGATGATTACCAGGAGGACTGGTGATAATGACCAGGGGCCTACCAATGATGTCTGGGAGCTTTGTAAAGAAACCAGAACTCTGAGAGTTTAAAGGGCCTCCAAAATGACTGAGGTTGATTCTGCCTTAGTCCAGAAATATGGAGCCTCAGAATCAGAATTGACAAGAAGTCAACATAAAGAAATATTTCTTGCAAAAATATAACAAGATAGGAAAAAAAGACCCAAACCAAATCTTTTTTTTTTTTAAATTTATTTGAGAGAGCGAGAGCACAAACAGGGGGAGGGGCAGAGGCAGAAGGAGAAGCAGGCTTCCCACGGAGCAGGGAGCCCGATGCGGAGCTCGATCCCAGGACCCTGGGATCATGACCCAATCCGAAGGCAGACACTTAACCGACTGAGCCACCCAGGCACCCCTCAAATCTACTCTCTTAAAAAAAAAAAAAAAAAAAAAAAGCTTTGTATACAAATTCTGGAGTAGAGAAGCAATACATGAGAGTATTAAGAGGTTCTACAACCAGATGACCCAACTGGATTCCAAATACCTTTACAATATTAAGCACTTTCATTTTACTACCACACAATTCTGAAAACATTCTTTATTATAGCAGTTAGAGAGGCAGCTCCCAGGAGCCAGGAAAGGTTCCTTAATCCATTTTGCACTGTGGATTCTGTATCAGCAACAGATTTTAGACCATTCTTTGTTTTAACTCTGACTTAGGAAATTTTCACACCCACGGAGCATCTACACTGCCAAGAGTTGGTTTCTCTGAACTGTTTCAGGGGAATGGTTTTGTGGAAACGTGCTGGGTCAGTGGCTTCAGGTGATCCCAACAACACTGCCAAGACGACACCAAGGGCCACTTTTATGAAAGTAGTGCAGGGAGAAACTAATGCAAGCTTCTGGTAATACCCCACGTTATGCTGGTTTTCCAAGTTTGGAGGGCAAACACCCCATCTTCACTGGACTGGGGGAATCAGATTGAACTCCTACTACACATAGTTTTTAGTGTTAAACTTTCAGCCTAAACTCCTTTAAATCTTGCAACATTACAAAAGTCAAATGGGAAACTTCTCTTCATTTATACTTAAAAGGAAGAAAAAGATCCAATGGAGTTTTTATTTCATAAAAGTAGACTATTGGGGCGCCTGGGTGGCTCAGTTGGTTGAGCATCTGCCTTTGGCTCAGGTCATGATCTCAGGGTCCTGGGATAGAGCCCCGTGTTGGGCTCCCTGCTCAGTGAGGCTTCTGCTTCTCCCTCTCCCTTTCCCTCCCTCCCAGTTTGTGCTCGCTCTCTCACTCACTCTCTCAAATAAATAAAATCTTAAAAAAAAAAAAAAAAAGAAAATACACTGTTTCTCAAATGCCAAACTCATGGCCAATGATCTGTTTAGTCCATGAGTCTGTGTGGAAAAACTCCCCATTTATTCCTTTCCTTGACTACTGCTGTGATTTCTCTTAAAGTTATCAGTGAAAATACAAGAAAACATGAGACACACTGACCTAGCAATAGAAAAAAAGTCACATTTCTTACCATGTGCCCTGTGTGCTGAAAGTGTGTTGTGAGATTATGGTTCTGGACAGCTGCATTAACTGGGGGTGTAGAGGTGAGAAGTGGGGGCCAGCAGCTAAATTAGAAATGTAGGCTGGTTGGGGCGCGTGGGTGGCTCAGTCGTTAAGCGTCTGCCTTAGGCTCAGGTCATGATCCCAGGGTCCTGGGATCGAGCCCCACATCGGGCTCCCTGCTTGGCGGGAAGCCTGCTTCTCCCTCTCCCACTCCCCCTGCTTATGTTACCCCTCTCTGTGTGTCTCTCTCTCTGTCAAATAAATAAATAAAATCTTAAAAAAAAAAAAACCCAATTTTTAGAAATGTTGGCTGGTGAATTGAAAAGAAAAATGGATTTATTTTTCAAAACTTACATGATTCATAAGGTAGGACAGAATAATAAAAAAAAGATACTGCATTGAGATATTTTAGGCAGCTATTTGACAAGGCAACATTAAAATTTTCTTTCTACTTTGAGACAATTGTGATTAGATGAAATAATGGGTTATTAATGAAAGACTGCCCTTTATTGTTTTAAATAAAAAATCTGGAGTCGATTATACATATGATTCTTATCTCCTCATTGTATATCCTCTTAAATGTTGATGCTCTTGAGCTATTCACGCAAAACTGCTTGTTGGCACAGCTCTGAATGGCTTCTCTCCCACCCCTATCTCTGCGTATTTAAATAACATTCCTTCCCCCTAGAATACCTCAGTGACTCTGTCTACCAATACCAATGACTTCTTCTAAAACTCATCTATTCCAGAAGCAGGGTATCAATCATTTCCCTGTGGGTGGGTTGCTGGCTTACACTGAGGAGAGGCTCTATAGAGACAAATGTTTCTGAGCTAGGTCTCTGGAGTCAGATTTCTTAGTCCAAAGCCTGGCCCTGCTACTTCTGGCCATGGGCTTTGGGAATACTATTAACCTCTCCAGGCCTTAGCTTCCTCATGTTTTTATGGTTTTAACAATATTATCTACACATAAAGCTTTATGTACAATGCCAGCACATAGTAAGAAGTGAGACCATCTCATTATATTTAATGCCTCTGTGCCAAAGTTGCTGCACACTTCCCATTCGTGCCTTTCAATCCTCATAACAAGGAAGTAAGTGCAGTATTTTTTTTTTTAAAGATTTTATTTATTTATTTATTTGCGAGAGAGAGAATGAGAGACAGAGAGCATGAGAGGGAGGAGGGTCAGAGGGAGAAGCAGACTCCCTGCTGAGCAGCGAGCCCGATGCGGGACTCGATCCCGGGACCCCAGGATCATGACCTGAGCCGAAGGCAGTCGCTTAACCAACTGAGCCACCCAGGCGCCCCATAAGTGCAGTATTATTAGTCTCATTTACAACTGGGGGTATGGAGGCTCAGAGGGATTCAGACTTGACCAGGTCTTTGCAGCTTCTAAGTAGGAAAGATCAAATTCCAACTTGGGACTGTTTAATACCAAAGCCTGTGTTCCTAACACTACTGCAAGCGTCTCATCTGTTTTGAATATTTTATTTTGCACTTGTATAAGAGCTAACTTGGGATTTTCCATATGGCATCAATTCTATTGAATTATTGTCTCCTCAACTCCACAGCAAAAACCTTGAGGGCATGAGCCGATCATTTTATAGAGAGTGAACAAAAAGACAACTATGGAAGTGAAAATTGAAGCC